AAAAATGATTAAAGACTTCTTTCTAGAGAAAAAACACCTAGGACTTCAGTTCAGACAATTAATCCTAGAACCTATCAAGAATTTATGGTTCTTCCCATATCAACCTTATGTCTATTTCTGCAAAATATCCATTTTAGTCCTAAAAACATATCCCTCCTCTGTCAAACAGCTAGTTGTTGTGGTCCGCCAGCAACCTGCGGAGCTGGCAGCGGAGTCTGACAGTGAGGAATCTGGGGATGAACATGGGCCAGTCCTGGAGTCTGGGGAAGGCCCGGACGAGGGCTCTGCATCAGAGGCAGAGATGGAGTCAGGGCCATCTGGGAGTGATGCACGGACTCTGGAGCCTCCAGAGTTGGACAGCAGAGAAACAGAGGAACAGAAGGAGCCTGTTCCTAGTGTGTGCGTGCACAGAGCTGCCAGAAGGCATGAACAGTTAAAACAAAAGGGACGACTCGGGAGTAAGGCCTGGAGATGATTGGCTCCTCCCATAAGGCTTAAAAGAGGAGCAAGAGGCACATGGGCACTTTGCAGGAAAACAACGTTGTTAATTCTGTTCCCAGTCGGCATCTCTGTTTGATTCTGGAATCCATGTGGCTTTGCCAAGTAGGTCTTTGGCAAAGTGTCAAGGGAGATAAAGGTTGGTGATTATCCCGAAGGACTTCTCCCAAAGAACTTTTTGCAACTAATTGGGACTCAGCTGTGAATGAATGTAATTCACAGCTGTTGCAATAAGAGGTTTTTGGGACTACTCGTGTGTTTTAATGACTCAAGAAGCCTCGGTCACAACACTAGTTAAGTTTTGCACTACAAAGCATTTGTTGCTGGAACACGAGAACACAACATCTGTGTTATGTAGCAAATTTCCAATTCACCAATGGTCCTTTATTAACCACCCAAGCCAATATTTTGGATGCAATGAGCTTTCCTGGACAATAAAAATAAAGGGAAGTTGTAGCCTTGTCCTTACCACGAAAGTATGCCCAACTACTCAGAGTAAGGATAGGGAGAAATAAATAGGCAGTAAGTCGCAGGAGGGAGAACAATGGAAGGGCAGATAGCATTTTGATCAATCAGTGTTTTGTGTCCTTTGTGATTAATCCATTCCATATCACTGTTTCGTGAGAATGCCCATATCATTTTCATGTCTCCTCAAACCAGAAGACTGGGAATATTGTGTTGGTAGAGCACATACAGTCATTTATGTACTCGGCTCTGAAGGCATTAAAATGAACAATTAAAAGAGGCATAATTCACATTTAACCAACATATTAATAGAGTTCTCTTTGATCAGAATAAAAAACAAGCAGTTCCTACCAAAGGGGAGAGGAGAGAAAGATTATTTGCCAAAGATCCCTTGCCAACATTTATAACAGAGGGCCAAATCAAGTGTTAATTTGACTTCTCATCCCTGGCCCTCCCACTCATTTGAAAACTCATCTTAAATTAGTTCAAACACTGACTCTAAGGGTTATGGAAATTCATTCCACCAGCCAGGCGCCAATTGGTAATTAATCTATGACCACATAGTGAGAGAGAACACAGCACAAATCACCATTTCAACTGCACACGAAAACGAATGCTTACTGTGAGATGTTTCCAAAGGAGAAAAATAACCATTATCAAAAGAATTAAAAGACATGGTTAAGGTGGGGGGTAGAAATAGTCATGTGTATTAGGTCACAATTTAGATCAATGTTTCTCAACCCATGTGAGCACAATACATTGGTTACAAAGCTTTGCATCTCTTCTTGTGTCAGTCAAATCAATATCGCTCTTGACAAATCGCAAATTTGTCAGGGCTGCCTGACAAAAGAAGAGGGAATAAAGCTATTTTTCAAAGCAGTGGTCACCAACTGGTGGTCCGTGGACCACAGGTGGTTCGTGAGAAAATTTTGGTGGTCTGCAGACAATTATTTGCATTTTTTATATTGCACTAAATATTATTTAACTTTTTAAAAAATTCATATTAGTGATCCACAGGAGTTAAAATTATGAATTTAGTGGTCCCTGAGGACCAAAAGATTGGTAACCCCTGCTCCAAAACATCTGAGGGCAGGACAAGAAGTAATGGGTGGAAACTAATCAAGGAGAGAAGCAATTTAGAACTAAGGAGAAATTTCCTGACAGTTAGAACAATTAATCAGTGGAACAACTTGCCTCCAGAAGTTGTAAATGCTCCAACACTGGAAGTTTTTAAGAAGATGTTGGATAACCATTTGTCTGAAGTGGTGTAGGGTTTCCTGCCTAAGCAGAGGGCTGGACTAGAAGACCTCCAAGGTCCCTTCCAACTCTGCTATTCTATTCTATTCTAAATACAAAAAAATTATTCTGAAAAGATGCTATTAACGTTTAGGGATTCCTCCTTCACTACTTGGCAACATAGCCGATCCCTTTTAACAGAATCTAGTTTGCCTATGATTTTTAAGGGGTCAGGATGAGCTTTCTAAGGATAAAGATATAGGTAGTATATTCCATCAATCCAACTGAACACCCCTAAAACTTGTCCAAAACATCCCACTTAGGCAGAGTGCACAACTTTTCCAGGCCAACGGCCAAAACCAGTCTTTGACTGCAAGGTGATGGACATGTTCCAAAAAGGTATCTCTAATTTGATTTAAAAAGAAAGATATTTTAAATTATTTTTTGTTATCCACGTACTCTTCAGTTATTTATCCCTAATTTCTACTACCATATTAGCATTAACAAATCTGTAACAACTTACAGTACACACTTGGATTTCACCCAAGTTTTTCGAAGAATAGATGTCGACTCAGGTTGTACACCTGAGTGGTAAAACAGCATGTGTTTAAACAGTCCCAGTTCTCCTATTTTTCACAGATACCAAGTGTACATTCTAATTTTTGTGGGAATGTTTTCTGTGCTTCAGTTGAGAAGTTCCCTCCCCTCTTTCCCTTTAACATTGTGGTGTGACAAACTAACCTTTTAGCCACGAATGCTGAACATCGAGCAAAAACAACCATCAGAATCCCACTACTGTTTACAAGACTTGGACATGGTTCTTGGAGACAAACAGTTGGAGAGAGAAAAGAGCACAGCTGCATAAAATGAACAGAAAAACAGCAGGACTCCCTTAAGAAAGAGAAATGGGAAACGGTTAGTAGAGGGATCCTCAGAAATAGAAAAATCAATCAAGTGAAGAATATTGCTCTCTGAATTAGGAAGAAAGAGTAAGATATTAAGAACCGAAAAAGAAAGGATAAATTTAAGAGGACAACTGAATGATGGGAGTTAGAAAGCCTGTGATCCACGCTGGCAGAATTAAAGCATTAAAGTCAAATGAATGTTTATTCACAAATTGCTTGTCGCATCAGCTACATGCGTAAATGCTATTGGTGCAAAAATGGAATCCAAGCACGTGTGAACTGATCCCGGAGTGCAAATACTAATTTTATAGGACAGGGATGAATTCGGTATGCAATATCTGCATCCCAGAAAGTTAGAAATGGTCTGAAAACACAAGGCCAAAGAGATGTACAAATGCCAAAGAAATAATTGGACAACCCGAAATCCTTCTTACTTAAAAGTATTCTTTGAACTTAACTCATGCCTGTAGGTCAAAAAGAAATGTGAACAACCTTGGCTACTGATAGTTCAGCTTCCTATTCCAGATATCATACATATTCATAACTCAAAGTGAAGGAAGTATCTACAGTAAACAATGGCAACCATCCAAAGAGCTATTTGAATTCACTCCTGAGGCCTTGGGCAAGCAGAGAAGAATTTTTCACTTTTTTTCCACTTTCAACAGCTGTGTGACCACATCCCTTATAAGAAAATGCTTTTGGAATTTCCCAGTTTCTATATTCATTTGCTATATAGCATTATGAGAAGGGGAGGTCATTGCAACTTGGGAAGGAAAAGTAAATTTTGGATCAACCCTAACCTCCCACACTAAAAAAATAAAATAAAAAATATGGGGTTGCTCAGTTTTGAATTTCAGCTAACTGGTCTGAAACCCACTTTAAAATACATGTAAAGTATAACTTTAAGTAGGCATTAACACAGGTTACAATTTCTAAGTACCTCCAGGAAACCTCCTGGCAGTAAGTAAACCAACAACTGGCTCAATGTCTCTTTTTTTACATCACCAAGAAAAAAGGGAATCTGAAGTTGGCTGGGATAAAGAATTCATTATACTAGTAAAGTCAATGCAAGATCTTAAATTAAACATCTTTCCCAAAGATTCAGTATATTTTATTCAGGAAAGAAAAAAACCCTATTAAAATATAATTTATTATCATTACCATATCAATCTACTCATAGACATACAACAGCATAAGGTTGGGAAAATCCACTGTGAAAGCTGCTTTAAAAAGGATGAATTTTAACGGGACTATTTCATTTTCTCCTTCCCAATATAAATCCCTAATTCTACTTCAAACTTTTGGAGACTCTGGAATAAATTTGAGTGCATAAGAAAAATAGGGAAATAGTTCTCCTTTCGGCTCTGCTAAAGAAACTAATTCATCAAATTTTGTCATTTGTATTCGTAATCCTGTTTTAATTAAGCTTGGAGTCCTTATTTATATAGTAACAATACCCACAATTCTCAGCCAGTTTAGCCATAGACCATGTTAACTAGGAATTCCAGAAATTCTAGACAAAATATAGCTGTGGAGCATTAGACTGAGGAAAACTGCAGTAATCAAAACACATTGAGAGCCTTGATAGTACAGTGGTCTACGCACCCTGTTATTAACACAGCTACCCGCAATTTACTGCTGGTTCGAATCTCTCCAAGGCTCAAGGTTGACTCAGCCTTCCATCCTTTCAAAGGTAGGTGAAATGAGGACCCAGATTGAGGGGGCAATAAGCTGACTTTGTATAAAATATACAAAAGTATGAAGGCTATTGCTTAACGCATTGTAAGCCGCCCTGAGTCTCCGGAGAAGGGCGGTATATAAATCAAATTAAAAAAAACAACAAAAAACATTCCATTAAAGATGTATTGTTTTTTTTTTAAAAAAAATATTACTTACCTGATAACTCTTCACTCTAACAAAGTCAACTTTCATGGAGATGAATCTTTCTGAGTTTCTACTGAGGTTCTTAATATGCTCCACAAGATCAGCACAGAATTTGTAGCCACCTTTAAGTACACAGAGAACCACGATGTCATTGTATCCAATGTCTTGCATGATATCTTTGGCCAAACGTTCTATCCTAAAGTAAGAATTAAAAATAAATATAAGGTAAGATCACATATCTTCTTTGTGCAACACAACCATAATCAACTTCATACATAATTACATTTATTTTTTATTCTCCTGCAAGGCATAAAAAGAGGCTATTTGTAGGATCATCTCTCCTTGAAGATATCTTACCTGTTTCTCCAGATCACATAAAATAAGCGCACTCTAGGACTCTTCCCTTAAATGTTGCTATCTAATGGCACCCAGGAAATGTGCATTTTCTGTGGTAGCCCCTACTCTGAGTTCTCTTAACTGCATCCAGGAAGACTGGCTACAGTGTAAGCTTTTTTTAATTTCTTTATAATTATTTTATGATTTGTGTGGTCTTTGGTTTTATACAACTGTTGTGAGGCACTCAGCATTATGATTAGCCATATGCACCAATCAACCAATCAATTATATTTGACTGCAAATTAGTGCATTGTGCATTCAATGTTATGCAGTGAAAATTGTAATCTTCAATATTTTTCCACTATATATATATATTTGTTAATAATGTACATCACTGGAGAAAGTTGGCCAAAATATTTACATTTTCAAGGGACGGGGAGATTTGGGAATAGCTTTAAGGGAAACAAATTAAGCCTAGCTCTGGTGACGTAATTCTAGGGGTTACCCAACACCTTCCAGAACCTGGCCAGTTTTGACAACTAAGCAAGATCAGGCTTAGTATTTAAACAGGAGGTCTTTAAGAAACCTCTAGGAATGTAGGCTAGACTAGGAAATTAAAAAGAAAACATGAATGAATTAATTCTATATCAGGTCAAAAAAATAGCATGGCAGTGCATGTGAAGTTACCAGGAGTACAGCTCAACTCAAAAGAGGCTTCACCTCCTAAACATATAAATATAAACATATTTATATTTGGATGAGCGTCATCCTTCAAATTCTGATGTAACTCTCTGATAACACTTTTACCCAAGAGGATCAGAATTCTTATACACATTATTACCACTCAGAAGCGTGCTTGATATGCAGCACAATTTAGGATTCTTCTGTCAATATGCAGCACAATTTCACAGCTTATTATATCAAATCTTCAGAGTTGATTATCCAGTAAGGAGCACAGCAATCCTAAAGCAATGCTGTTTTAATACAGCAGAAGAATGTTACTTAAGAAAGTCTCTCTTTCCATCATTTTTCTCTGCACCTTGACTTGCATCTTAGACATTTAGCCTTTAGGCCATTATTAACATTCAAAATGTCTCACACGATAAGAATTTATAGTACACTCTGGAGGATAAGTGATCAAGGCATACTCCCCATTCACCAAAAACAAAAGCATATTTTGACAGAGTTTATTTTAAACTGTAAATTATTATTTGAAACAGGCACATCTCCCAGCATCTCTACCATCAACTATGTTGGCTAGGGTTGCTAAGAGTTGTGGCCCACCCATTTTAAGGCATGAAATATAAAACAGACATTTTCCCACTTAATTTTCTACTTAAAGGCAGCCATCTAGAACAGCGCAGAATGGATAGATCTGAAGATTTAAAGTTTTAGTTTTCACATCCAAAATATAACATATAACAGCACTGGATTTCCTTGGGTAAGGGTCGCTTTTTAGAGTAAGATGGGGAGCATTTAAATTTAATAAATAAATATGTCACATTCAATTGATTCAAGCATGCTAGTAAATCTAACTAAGCTAGGTTTTGAATTAGCATTGCACCAAACTAAGCCACTGTAGTTTATTCCATCAATCATGATTACATTCAAACATAGTTTGGAACAAGCTATAAACCTAATCCCTCTACTAACTGGCAAAAAAAACCCTTGCCTAGAGCAAATTAATGTATCAGAAATAAAAACTTCTGTATAAAAATCCTATTTTATAATAACAATATTTAATGTGATATCTGAATTTCTCTGGAATGTAACCTATAATCATGGTTACATTCAAACATAGTTTAAAACAAGCTGTGGACCTAAACCCTCTATTAATTGGCAAACAACCCCACTCGTTTGGAGCAAATTAATGTATCAGAAATAAAAACTTATGTTTAAAAATGGATATACAACCCTATTTTATAATAATAATATTTAATGTGGTATCTGAATTTTTCTGGAAATTACCTACCCCAATAGGGAAAATATATCCTTTTACTGGCATTGCTCCACTAAGATCAGGAGAGAAGTGGCAGCATATGTGGCAGCATATGTGGCAACAAGAGAATGAGCCTCAACATTCTCTGAATGGACATATGCTCTAAGCCCACTGACTCAGATCTAGGAACAGTTTTATAGCAAGAACAAACATTCTTGAGGGTACACAAGAACAAAATCAAATTAAAAGATGGAGGAAGGAGACCACTGAATAAAGAATAATATTAAAGGAAGAAAAGGATGAAGGATCTGACCTCCATTATATTACCTGGAGGATGCTGAATAGGTTGAAAGTTGAGTGCCTAAATGTAAAACTAATATACTCAAGGGGAAGCTCTTAGCAGACATCACACTGTGTAATTATGGAGAGACACAGAGTCCGGCTGGCATATTGGGTATTAACAGAAACATACTGAAAATGACTTTTTTTTTGGCCAACAACAAAGCCAAGAAGGTGGCTTCATTCTGGCAATTTAAAGTTTGATTTAGACACGGAAGAAGAAATTTATCTGGAATTCAGCCATTCTTCTATGGGAAATTCTGAATGATAGAAATGAAAAGAGACTTATAAAGAGACTTCTTCAAGCTTTCTGCTGAAAGGTCAAAAATGAAAATGGACAAGTAACAAAAAACTACGATTAGGTATTGAAGGATTGTACATTGTAGAAAATATAAATCACAGGTTTTAAATCAAGTTTTTACCTGTCAACAATGATCCCATGGGGAATGAGCACATAATCAAGATCTCCACAGTAATGCTGTGGATACGCAAATAGATCCAAGCTATATCCTGGCCAATCATCTGAAATCTGCAAGCAGATATAAGTTGGTTAAAATAAACATTTCTGTATTGTATTGCAAATGTGTTACCACATTTATCTAAGAAGCAGACTTTTAAATATGGAGAATGAAGTATTAAGGAGAATGGAAGATATCAAAATCTTGTTGCTGCTGGCATGTTGGGTTTCATCTGCCAGTGAATTCACTGGCTAGAATTTCTGGGAATTTGTGCAACTATTACGAGGGCAGAGGAAATGTATCTAAATGGATTAATCAAAAAATCAAGCATCGCAAAGAAAAATATGGGCTTCAAATTCTTGTACATCAAGAGGTAATGATAGTTTAGCTTAGTTTTATGTGGAAATCCAGTTGCTATGGCTTATTAATAAGCTATGTTTAAAAGAAACCATGGCTGAACACAATGGTTAGCAACAACTGTGCTGGCATCTATTAAGACCTGGTCTCTCAAAATTTAATTCCAACTCATTTTTATAACAGTCAAATTGAACCAGACAGACAAATCTTACATAATTTTGGCACTCTTAAATTTTGATGATTCCAGAATTTCCAGGGGAAGATGGTATCCAGGGTCATAATATCTTGGCCTCATTTCAGTACAACATACTGGGATCACATTAGTCTTGATAGTTGATGATTCTTTAAATACTTTCACAAGAATACAGAATACCATTTCTAACTTTCAAGTGTTGATCTGTGCCTAAAAGTATTGTAAACTACTACGGGAACTTCCAAACTTGGATAAATTTCCTCTGAAAAGCTTTCATTAAAGATGTTGGCAAGAAACATCTTCCAGTCCATCTGGACAAAAATTCAAGGTTAGCATGCCACTCCGTCTGAAATTCTGGGAATGTGGAAAACAATCCACAAAAGTTTATGGCATAGTTTTTCATGATTCGCGGTTTTTTAGACAGCTCCCTGAGTCAAAATCTAGGCTGGTCATATCTGCAAAGGATTGCAGCATATTGATAGTACAGCAACAAATGTGCCTCAAATTCCAGCCCCACTAAGATCATATTATCAATATATTGCTGGCAAAGGAGCCAATTTTCTGCAGTTTTTTTTTCAAAGTAGGTTTTAATGAGAATGTAAGGCTTATGGAGGCAAACCACCATTTCCCCTTCAAATCAAAAATGACTTCCATGTCTAGCCTACAATCTTGAATTTCTCAGTTGTCTTTAATCAAAGTATTAGCTAGTCCTGGTCCAACCCTGCATAGCCGAATGGTCAGTGAACATTGACTGAAATGTTACTGGATTAATCCCATTAGAAGTCCTACAGAGGATCTGAAAATTGCACTGTGATATCTGACCATTTGGGACCATTTTTCAAGGAAGGTTTACGGGTGGAATGTAAGCAGATTGCTTCCCCCAGCCCTCTATCCTTAAATCTCAATCCTAAAAGGGAAGAATTCTGGTCCTCTTCCGCTCAGAAAACTCCTGCAACCTTTTACAAGATCAATTGGCCTTGAGCCTTCAAAACTGTTTACCCTTTTTTAAAAAAAAGCCAGGCTGTACTCCTAAAATAAGCATAGAGGTAGCATTCTGAGTACAGGAAATTTTGCATCTTTATTAAGACAAGCTGTTTTTTTATATGTTAACATTATCTGTAACATCCTGATTTAGTCATACTTAAATGTACTGATTTAATGAGTCTATTTTAAATATGATTAATTCAAGAGTCAGCCTTATATAATTATTTTTATTTCTGTGGAATAGGAAAATAGAATGATATTCCTGTATTTTCTTTTAGATTTCACTATATGGGGAACATATATTCTCAGAGATGTTCATAGTATATTAAATACATGTTATATATATAAATATATTATAGGTAGTCCTTGATTTACAACCATTTGTTTAGTGACTGTTTGAAGTTACACTAGCACTGAAAAAGTGACTTATAACAGTTTTTCGCATTTAAAACCACTGCAGCATTCCCATGGTCATGTGATCAAAATCCAGATGCTTGACAACTAGCATGTATTTATTAGAGTTGCAATGTCCTGGGGTCATGTGATCACCTTTTGTGATCTGATAAGCAAAATCAATGGGGAAGCCAGATTCACTTAACAGCTGTGTTATTAAGTTAACAACTGCAGTGATTCACTTAATAGCTGTCTCACTTAGCAACAGAAATTTTGGGCTCAATTTTGGGTCATAAGTCAAGGACTACCTGTAAAGAGAAAATTAATAAAAAATTCTACATTAAGAATATTGCAGCTATTAGTACTGTATGTACTTTAATAAATATAGGCCATGTGATTTTTTTAAAAAAAGATACTTTTGCTCTAGTATACAAATCCATTATATAACTTATCATAAGAATATTCATTTATCTTATTGAGCTAAATATGCATGATAAAATTGTCAGTGGTGTGATCAGGGGAGTAGTACAGAAAAAGAATAATAGCCCCTATTTCCTAAATGAGATTCCTATAGCAACTAAGGAGATTTTTAGCTTGCTTCTCGAATGATTACCTCGCTCTCTTCCTATTAGGTGATGTTCTCCTTAAAATTAATATACAGCCATGAAACAGAACATAAAAATTGAAGGCAGCTTCACAAAATTAGAACCAACAGAACACAAACCGTAAGAAGGAAATTCCACTGAGTTCCTGAAAATGTGGCATGGACTGAAGCTTGCAAGGATACAATGCAAATAAACACAGATTGTTTTATACTTCAAAGCAAACTACCCTGTTTTTAAACCATGGTTTATTGCATAAACCAGACATAATTTGCTCTTCTCAATATGGTGGCAAGAGGTGACTTGCAGATAGATCCACCTACCAAAGATGTGGGCTAGAAAGTTGTCAATATTTTTTGTGGAAAATTTTCCACTTTAGGCTTTTGGTTGTTTCAAAATTGGATAAATATGGCTTTTCAAGTGATTGTTCTAAAAAAGAGAGAAGGAGCGATTTATGGTTGTTTCCAATCGATAGGCTAGAGAAGCTACAGAAAACTGAAACAAAGTGAGAAGTTGCTGAGTTAAAAAGTGTATCGTGCCTAAAAACACTAGTAAAGTTCCATTACAAATAGTCATCAACATACACTTGTTCATTTAGTGGCTAAGTTACAATGGCACAGAAAAACATTGCAGCAACTCTGTGGTTATACGATCAAATCAGATGCTTGGCAATGATCATATATATTTATAACAACTGCAGTGTCCTGGGATCATGTAATCATCTCTTGTGACCTTCTGACTAGCAAAGTCAATGGGGAAGTCAGTGATTTCCCACTGAAGTGAATCCATCATGATTAGATTCACAATTGTGTTACTAACTTAACAATTGTAGTGATTTACTAAACCGTGGCAAAAAAATAATAATTGCAAAATGGGGCAAAATTAACAAATGTCTTGCTTAGCAGTGGAAATTTGGGCTCAATTGTGATTGTTAAGTCAAGAATTATCTATATTTGAATCTGGGGCTTCACAGTCCTATTATTATTCCCCCAGAATTACTAGGCAAACTCTTAAGAAGGCTACAGTGTACTTCTTAGGTATATATTTTGGGTAAAAAAACCACCTTAGATTTATAGATGAATTATCATCCTCTACCTTATATGCAGCAGCTGACAAAAAAACCAACACAATTCTAGGCTGCATTAACAGAGGGATAGAATCAAGATCACGTGAAGTGTTAATGCTACTTTATAATGCCTTGGCCCAGTGGTGAAATGTAAAATTTGTTACTACCGGTTCTGTGGGTGTGGCTTGGTGGTGGTGGTGGTGGACTGAGTAGGCATGGCCAACTTTTTTTTTTTTTAACTTTTAAAACCATTTTTTCTACAACCTCTTTGGCTTGTAAAAAAATACTTTTAAAAGCCTCTGACGATCCCAGCTGAGTTGCCTAATCAGCAGAGGCTTTCTTTCTTTTTTTTAAAAAGCCTCTGATGATCCCAGCTGAGCCGCGCGATCATCAGAGGCTTTTTTTTTTTTTACTTTTAAAAGCATTTTTTCAGTCAAAGAGGTTGTAGAAAAAATGCTTTTAAAAATAAATTTAAAAAGCCTCTGATAATTGCGCGGCTCAGCTGGAAAATTGGGGGGGGGAGGGATTTTTGCTACTGGTTCTTCGAACCACCCGCCTCCTTCGCTACCGGATCGGGCGATCCGGTCCGAACCAGCAGCATTTCACCCCTGGTAAGGCCAGGGGTGCATCCAATTTTGATCACCATGATGTAAAAAAGATGTGGAGACTCTAGAAAGAGAGTGCAGAGGAGAGCAACAAAGATGATCAGGGGATGAGAAGCTAAAACATGAAGAACAGTTTCAGGAATTGGGTATATCTAATTTAATATAAAGAAGGGATGACATGATAGCAGTGTTCCAATATCTTATGGGCTGCCACAAAGAAGAGGGAGTCAAGCTATTCTCCAAAGCATCTGAGGGCAGAACAAGAAGCAATGAGTGGAAACTAATCAAGGAGAGAAGCAACCTAGAACTAAGAAGAAATTTCCTGACAGTTAGAACAATTAATCAGTGGAACAACTTGCCTCCAGAAGTTGTGAATGCTCCAACACTAGAAGTTTTTAAGAAGAAATTGGATAACCATTTGTCTGAAGTGGTGTAGGGTTTCCTGCCTAAGCAGGGGGTTGGACTAGAAGACCTCCAAGGTCCCTTCAAACTCTGTTATTCTGTTATATTTTAATGCCAGCAACAACATATTACCAATATAGTTCTGTATCTACAGAATATTTACCCAGAAGCAACTCCTGCTGTGTACAGTGAGGGTTATTTAAGAAGTGCACATAGGACTGATCTGCTCTGCCAACAAATCATTTCGGCACTTTAAAATTTCTGTCAAAATAGACTATTTAATAAAAATTTTGTATAATGTAAAGTTTAAAGTACTGATATATACATTTCAGAGCAAAAGGTTCAGAGCACAGCACAATTAGCCCTAAGCAGTATAAAGATAGTCCTTGTCTTACGGCCACAATTAAGTCCAAAATTTCCATTACTAAGTGAGATAGTTGTTAAGTGAGTTTTGCCTCATTTTATGACTTTTAATGTCAGTTAAGTGAATCACTGTAGATTATAATTTAGTAACATGGTTAAGGCTGGAAGGTTGCAAAAGATGATCAAATGACTCTATGACATGGCAACCGTCATAAATAGTTGGCAAGCATTCAAATTTTGTTCACATGACCAAGAGGATGCTGCAACGATCATAAGTGTGAAACTCAATAAGTCACTTTTTTCAGTGCCACTGAATGATCACTAAATAAATGGTTATAACTAGAGGACTATCTGTCTCTTAGAAGAGACTTTTTTTTTTGCAAAACAAAAGATTTTTCTGAAGTAAAAAAATGAGAATATTCTCCCCTTTTCTACAACTGCTTCTTCTCATCTGGCCACTTTTATAATTTAAATCATGTGACAGTGCAATTTCATACCTATTAGCCATATTAAAAGAAGTTCAATCCTTGATTTAGAATTTTGTCCATAATTTCCATTACTAAGCAAGAGAGTGAAGCGAGTTGCACCCAATTTACAACCTTTTCCCATGGTTGTTAAATGAATCATAGTAGTTGTTAAGTGAGTCACATGATCATTAAGAAAATCTAGCTTCCCCCATTTATTTTGCTAGTTGGAAACAGGTTGGGAAGATTTCAAATGGCAATCACATAACCCTGGGATCCTGCAAAAATCATAAATACTTGCTGGTTGCTAAGTGCCCAAATTTTGATTGCATGACCATGGGATACAGATGTAAGTTCAAGGAGTGGTCACAAGTCACTTTTTTCAGGGCGACTGTAACTTTAAACAGTTGCTAAATGAATAATAATAAGACAAGGACCACCTGTAAAGATGTATTTGACTCCTTCTGTTTACACTGCGGTTTTCTGAGCAGTATTATAAAAGTGTATTCTTTTAGGAAGTTTTTAAACAATTAATATCCCTGATATTCCTTGCTATTCTCCTCTCCAAATACAACCCAGCCCAAATCTGCATTGGTAATATGCTCCATTCATAAGGGTGTTTATTTTTAAATAAACACATATGCAATTTAGTCTGTGATTCATGTGTTCAGGAGGCAGCCATATTTATTATTTAAGAAGTCAAGTATCACTTAATATTGAATATTAAGACACTTACTGTACTAAAGCTATAATGCCTCTTTATAAGCATCTTCTTAAGAACCTCCAAATCATCTCCCTAAAGAACAGTACAATCTTCCACCCACCTCTTTCTGAAGATTGATTGACCTGAATAAAACAATCCTATGCAATGAATTAGTGAGGGGGAAAAAAAACACACCTAAGAACGGTTCCACCTCCTTTTTTCATAAGCGTTATACCAATTACGCAAGAGGACAACACTGTATCACGTGTAACTTCTCCAGGTCATGGGGGAGTCGGGGGGGAAGGGGAGCTGTGCAAATAAACCTTCTAGCAGAACTGATGCGATTAAAGTGATTTAGTGTGATGCATGAATGCAGATCCTGAATGCGTGGCTTTTAAGGGACGGGAGAAGGGAGAGAGGTGTGTGTGACGTGTCTTTGCTATTCAAAATCATATTCACTATGGAGAGAATCGGTGAAAGATTTTCCTGCCCACAAGAGGATCGTGTGTTACACTCAATTAGGAAGAGGATCGAGATCGCTCTATATGCTGTACTGTAGTTAAAAGTCTGCAACCCCAGGCTACCTATTTCTCCGAGAGAAAACAAGCCCCATCGCCTTCCACGGTTGGGTGGCGAACCATGCAATTGTTAAAAGCCTGCCCACCCCCCCCCCAACTCGTGGCAAGGAACTTATTCCCAGCGCGCGGCTTCATAGTTCCCCTTTCGGTTCAAACGTGCTTTCATTCTGGGTACCCTAACGATGAAGTACTAAAATATCCCACGGGTCATCTAAGCTACCGACCGAGAAGGCAGAGGCTGAAGTCCAGGAAGGTGGGGAAGGGGTGGAAGGGTCAGGTGAGCGAAGCGTGGTCGGGTGGGATGCCAGGGTGCTGAAAGGACTGGGAGGGGAGCCGGGCTTGGCTATCGCGCCTGCAGCAGCTAATGCGGCAGTCCGATCCGGGAGGGGGGGAAGTTTTCATTTACCACGACCCCTCGGCGGCTGCTTCTCGGCGCCTCTGCCACGCTAGTCCTGCTGCTCAGCCCCGCCATCTTCACAAGGGGCTGGACAAAGCCTTGAGGAGGGAGAACAGAGAGGCGAGGAGGAGGGGGAGGAAAACGTGAATGCTGAGCCCGGCCTCTTTTCTCGCTCCGATCGGATGTGGTGAGCCGTAGGAGGAGAAGGCAGCGGCGGCGCCGCGCTCAGGCTGGAGGAAAGAAGAAGCTACTGCCAAGCAAACCGACCCAGGGAGGGAAATCTGTGCAGCAGCTTCTAGTTGCTTGGACGCGATTTTTCCCTCTTCTCGGTCCCCAGCCCAGCTCTATAGCTCAGGCTTGGCTCGCCTCTTCCTCCATCGGGGGGGATGAGGTAGAGGCAGAGCTGGCTTTTGGGGGGGAGGTCTCTTCCCTGCAAAACCCCGTTTCTAATCACGTCTGAGCCGGGATTAAATTTGCCTGGTCTCTTATTCCGAGGTCCCTGGCTCGCTCTTCTTGCCTTCCTAGAAACGGATCGGGGTATGGAGTGGCAAAGGCTGGTTCGTTGAATAAACCACAGGTGGATCTTTGACCTGGTTATTGTACACCTAGCCTCGCTGGACAAATTGCATTTCACTACAATGCTAAATTATAGCATGGTTTATTTGGCTTTGATTTACAGCATACAGCAAGCCACAGTCTAGCTTTAGCCCCAGAGCCTTATTCTATTGGTTCAGCTGGCCTTGTTAATGGCCTTTCTTAAACTGATATGAGTCAAAATAAGCCAAGCAGAAGAGAGGGCATTAAATTCTGTAAAACTTTACAACTTCTTAGCATTCCCTTAAAGAAGATGAAATATAAGACCCTCTGATGAATCCCAAATAAAAGTTTACTCACTTTTATTCTTTTGCTACAATAATAGGACAAATGAGCCAGTTCCAATCCCTGGCAGTTCTATATGTAAATATAAATGGAGTGACATTCTTTGGATTCTCAGAATGTATTTTGTCCAACTTCCTGGAGAGGGGGAATTGAATAAGAATGTTTGCCTTGTGTCTGTAGCTCAAATGGTTTTCATTATGACATTTTTTCCTCTATAATCAGCAATACTGATGACCTTCATGAAAGAATACACATCTGTTTTAAATGGAATGAGAGCAGCTTTGATAGATGCTTCATTGTGCCTGAAGTAGAGAAAAGAAGCCTTTGCCATTATAATCAATATTGTAATCAATATAATAAAAGAAGATATTCCATAAGAATTGATTGATGACTGTGCCGTTAAATCAGTGTTGACTCTCAGCAATCACATATATTTTTTTTCAGAATGATCTGCTCCCAATTTAGCCCTTCATATCTTCCAACAATTTTGCTGTAACTGAGTTCATCCACCTTGCTGCTAGCCATTATCTTCTTTTGTTTTACTCATTACTCAGTATAATAGATTTTTCAAGAAAGCTAGCTTTTCACATAATGTGTCCCAAATATGATCATTTGAGCCTGGTTATATGTTCCTTGAGTGAAAACTCTGGATTGCTTTGTCCTGGGATCAATTGTACTTTGGTAGCTTTCTGTTGTGAGTTTCAAAGCCCTCTATGTAGAATTATTCAGATTCATTTTTGGTTCAGACTCACCATAGCTGAAGCCTGTGACTGATGTACATACATACTAAAATCCGTAAATGTGTCTTCTCTGGTTTTAACTTAGGTGAGTCCAGCCACCGTAGTTTGTAAACTTGGGTTTATGATTTAGTAGCTTGCATGAAACTGGCCAATTGAAGTTCACTGAACAAAATGTGATTAAATAAAGCATGGCCTAATGCAATGTATGAACCAGAATACAGTAGTCCTCAACTTATGACCATTTGTTCAGCCATTCAAAAGTATGATAGCACTGAATATAGGGACTCATTATCTTTGCCTGAAATTACAATTACTGCAGTGCCCCCATGGTCATGTGAATAAAATTTATGCACTTTGCAATCGGCTCCCATTACATTTGACTGCAAGGACAGTGCATTCTCCCTGCCTTTCTCCTCCCTCCCATCATGCCCCACTGGGTTTTCGCAGGTCTTGGGCCTGCTTCCTATCTCACTGGTTCCTGCATTCTCCTCCTACCTTTTTGGTAGATCTCCTTTTGGAAGTAGCCATTCCACTGTTCAGCTCCCTCCTCATGCATCATCCCTGAAGGAATGCTATTTTGGGAGCAGCTGCAATTAATCTCTTGTTGGGGAAGGAGGCTAGGCCACTGTGCTTTTTGGCCTCCCTAGAGGCCACATGGTGCTGTTCTGGAAGCAGGTGTCTTTTGTGAGCAACCACAATTCATTGTGGCCTTTCCAAAATGGTTCCAAAGTGGAGCAGCTGCAGGGACCTTGTGGGGTGGAAAAGGAGGCCCATGGCCTGTGGGGATCCAATGGAATGGGTAAGTAAACCTAAAGCCTGCAGCTAGGAGAGGGAAGCAGAGCATGGGGTGCCTCAGGGGGGTAGGGGAGGCCTTGGGATGCCCATGACAGGCCATGTGTAAATTGGGGTGGTGCTGCAATACAGGATTAGACCTGTGCTAGGCCTCCTAGGGCCTCCCCCACACCTGAGGCATTCTGTGCTCTGCTTAATGACCCACACAATGACTTAATGACTACATCAGGAAGAGTAGGGATGGAGGTTATTAAGCATGGCAGTCGTGAGCATCTCACTTAAAACCATCAAACTTGTGACTGCAATTGACAGACTCCATTATGGTTGTAAGTAGAGGACTACCTGTATATACTTTCTGATGATTAAAGGAATAGAAGAGAAAATAGAATTAGAATAGAATAGAATAGAATAGAATAGAATAGAACAGAACAGAACAGAACAGAACAGAACAGAACAGAACAGAGCTGGAAGGGACCTTGGAGGTTTTCTAATCCACTCCCCTGCTCAAGCAGGAGAACCTATACCCGTGATGGCAAACCTACGGCACGCGTCCACAAGTGGCACACGGAGCCATATCTGTGGGCACGCGAGTGTTGCCCTAGCTCAGCTCCAGCATGCACATGCAGGCCGGCCAGCTGATTTTCAGGCCTTTCGGGAAATGGGCCATTTCTGGCCGCCAGAGGGACTCAGGGGGGAGGGAAGGAGGAGGCCGTTTTTGCCTTCCCCAGGCTCCAAGAAAGCCTCTAGAGCCTGGGGAGGGCAAAAAACGGGCCTATCGGGCCCACCAGTAACCTTTTTGCTGTCACGTGCCAAAAGTGGGAGTGCAGAGAGGTCGCACGTGCATGCGCGGGGTGTGTGTGGGGCATTGAATTATGGGTGTGGGCACGCTGGTGCGCAACCCCCCATGCTCCCCCCACTTTTGGCATGCGACGACAAAAAGGTTAGCCGTCACTGACCTATACTATTTCAGATAAGTGGCTATCTAGTCTCTTCTTAAAAAACTCCAGTGATGGAGCAGCCACAATTTCTGAAGGCAAGCTTCCACTGGTTAAGAGCAGAATTCCCCAGCCTTTTTGGCTTTGTGCAATTGGGGATGTGGGAATGTGCGAACGCACACACACACACACACACACTTGCCTGCCACTTCCATGGCCCAGTTCTAAAAGTCACAAGACCCAGTCTGGGAGTTGGGGACCTCTGGACTAGAGCACTTCTACAGTGAAAATACAGCATTGAAAGCTTGAGGGTCTAAAAGGGATACCTTGGGGAGATGATAGAGTTTTATGGAACCAAGCATGGCAAATGAGATAATTTTCTACTTTTCTCTGCAGCATTGGAAACTCAGAGACATACAGTGACATTGAATGAGAACCAATAAAAGGAATTTATAGTTCAGAAAGGATTATCCTATTTCAACTTTTTGGGGGAAAAAACCCAGCCAGGACAGTACTATGAGTTATTTTATAAAATGCACATTTAAAGTGCAAAATGTATTGATGTTGCCCTCCCCAAACTTCAAACACTAATGGATAGATACAGCAAAGGATTAATATCCAAGGATAGTACTGGTAGCATATGCTTGCCTCAAAGAGTTGGCTAACAATATTTAACAGCAAATGATTCATTAGATCAGTTATATTTCTGGGGCTGAATCAAAGTTCAGTAAGTCCAAACCCAAAAATCCATCCTAATAATGAACAAGAATTAGTATATGGAACTGAAGCAATATTTCAAAAATAGTAATTAAATCTTGTACTCTTGGAGTAACATATAATTTCAGAGCAGCCTTTGCTAAGTTTCTGAGCGATCCAGCTAATAGTGAAATCTTGTCTCAAAGAGGACACCAAGTCTATCATGATTCAAGATAGCTTGCCCTTCCAAATGTTCAAGCTACCTCCAAATTAAAAAAAAAAAAAATCTATAGGACAAATGTACCAGATATTTACCTGAAAATAATGTGATGCTTAATTCATGCTTAAACATGAATAATAGCATAATTTGATTTGCTTGCTGGTTTTATTGGCTTAAACAAAAAAAAAATTCTAAATATTGAATGAATATTGGGACTAGAACAGTGTTTCAGCATCAAAACATTATGCATTTATAAACCATTGGCCATTATGAAATTAAAAATCTGACATTTATAGGCCAATGTTGGTTATAAAATCAAAATTTGTTATCAAAGAACATTTGTTTGTAAAACCTGTGATATTGAATGAAACATTGACTGAAGGTTGGGATTATATCACTGTTTCAGCATTAAAATATTTTGCAATTATAAACCATTGACCATTATGAAATGAAAAATCTGATATTTATAGGCTATAAAATCGTATATAAATATATATATAATGTTGGTTATAAAATCAAACTTCTCTGCTACTTAAATCAACATTTGCTATGGAAGAATTTATTTATTTGTAAAACCAATGATAGTTTTAGTTTTATAGTTTTATTTTGAAACTATCTAAAACATTATGCTATTTAGTAGACTACTCAGCCCCCATAATGCTTCCTCTGGTGCTTTGGGGCCAGGTGGCCATATGTTTGCTATCTGTTCTGTCCTTCTGCTCATCAATCAGAAGGCAACAGGAGCCTTTCCTTGAACCATGGGGAACCGTTGCTTGAATCTTTCCTGATATGTCCATTGCTACTATTGCTACTAAAAACAAATCCGAGATATGTCCAAGGACATTTTTCCCTACTAGAGAATTATTGCAGTGAAAACAGGATATTGCCATAAAAATTTAGACATGGTTATCTTAATTAAACTGTTGAATTACTTTGAAAGAAAACAGAACGAAGTCACAGAGATAAGCTAT